CCATCAAAAGGCCCAAAAGGCTAAATTAGATAGGAAGTCGTGTAAAGTACCACGTAGGACCTAAGGTGTTTTATGTTGATCTCATGTGGCAAATTTTGTTAAAAAGATAATGATGAGTTAACAGTAAAAAGTCAACAATTAAAAAAAATCATTTAAACTTTGAAATGTAAAGAGGTTATAACCGTCTTAAAGTTTATGGGGGGTTTTGTATTATTTAGCCCTATTGAAATGAAGCAATTTCACTTATGTTGAATCCGAATTCATAAGAGCACCTCTATTTGTTTTGGGCTCTCAGCGTAAAAAAGCAACAAGTCATTTAGAAAGACACAAGCAAATAATAAAGATTCAATTGTTCAAGAGCCTCCGTTTAATTACTTCAAATATTTTCCATAAAAAGAAAAGGCCCAAGTAACGTCCTTTAGCCTTCCATCATTCTCTAGATAAAGAAACAAAAAGAGATCCTACCAGGAGGCGGCGGCGGTGGCGGAGGAAATGGATTTTGTTTTTCAACCTTCGGCAAAAATCGCAGAGGTCATCGCTCATAGTCTCAACTCGCCGCCGTTGCCATCCCATATACTTGACGGCGAAACGGAAGAGGAAGGTCAAAGAAGATTCCAGTGAGGATTGCAAAATGGAAGGAGAAGGTTGAAGAAGATTCCATAATCAGAAAAAGGCGTGGCTGGTCCTTCTTCGCTTCGGGAGTTTCAGGGTATTTTTGATCCTTTCATAACTGTGTCCCACTGTCAAAAAATAACGGCTATTTGAAAGGTCGTGTTTATTTTTGCATTCATTTTAAACTTAACATAAATAGATTTCTACATAAATAGTTTAGCATAAGAAGTTAACCACTCGCAGTATAACGAAATAAGGTTTGAATTCTCATTAAGAAAAGTATTCTTATTTAGTGCTTGATATTCTTTTTCAAATAAGATTGCTTCTAATAAAAAAAATGCCTGCCTGGTAAAAAATTTGCCAACTGAAATTTTTTCCCCCAATTTTCCATTTTTCAATTACATGTGTGAGCGAATAATTATTAAATTTTTATTGTTATGTGTTGCAGCTGCAGGATTGCCAGCGTCGTTAGCTCCAATGAGTCAAGATGCCATGTCTCCCGGTAAGACAGTAAAATATTTCTATATATTATCATTCTTATTTTTAATACATTTTTGAAAAATCACGTTTCAACATGTTTTTACCGAAACTTTCATTAATATCAAACTTACTTCCCATTCGAAAAGTTAATTACTAGTGTCAGAAAAACGACAGGAGTATTATATATCACATGATAGTGATGCAGGATTGCAGGGTGACATTAAATATTTGGGGTAGGTATAGTAATGTCAGAAAATGAAGGAATTTGAACTAACTGACAAATTAATTACTTTGATTAACTAATTAACAAAAGCCTAGGAATTCATCAACAAAATAAAAAAAAAATACTTGTAATTTGAGTTTGTCAGTCCAATAATTGAGGGCACATACAGTAAATAATTATAGATATCATTCCCTTATATATGCTGATTTTCTTTTATTTGTTATGTGTCGCATGAAGACTGAAATTCTTTTTTCTTTTTCCCTTTTTTTTTTTTTGGCAATTTGTATACCCTGATTAGTTCCTGTTTGGGTTCTTCATTTTAGCTTTCCATTCGATGTATTGTTTTTAATCTCTACAAATTAAAACAGAACTGTCAGAGGGATCATTCAAAAGTATTGGAATCTTTGAAGGAAAGTTAGTGTGTTTTACCTGCTGTATTTCTTTTTTTTGTTTTGTTTTGTGCACATATAGATGTTACATATTCCTCCTATTCTGTTTGTAAATTTCAAATTTGGTAAGAAGTGTGATATATTTTATAAGAATTAATTCAGGTTTGTCTTAACATTCAATATATTTATTTTCTATTTTTTTAAATATTTATTCTCTCTCTTTTGTCATTCTCTCACTTTTTATAAGGTCATATTTAAGAATAAAAATATATTTCTAATCTATTTATTATTTTCAATTAATTTTAACTAATTATTTATAATTTATTAATTAATCATTTAAATTTTATAATATGGACTACAGAAAGTGTTTGTCATATGAAATATATTTATTTTATACTTCTCTTTACTTGTTCTCGGCCTCTACCAATATTGAGGCATTTGGACGTGCATGCCATATCTAAAATATTGTGTTGAATAATTTATATATAATCTTGAATTTTTGGATAATTATTGTAAATATTCAAACTATATATTATTATTTAATGTTTAAAAAAAATCATCTTTCATCACAATTTATAACTATTTTTTTCAACATTTAAATGTCTTTTCAGTTAAGCAGTGAGAGCTCAAAAGTCTGTTTGAACCTCAAATAAATAATTATTTAGTTGATTTATTGTTGATTTATTCCATTTGACTATATTTTTTGGAATCCCCGTCTCAAACATAAGTCGCTGGGAATAGTTTTTGGCTTTTGCAATTGAAAAATCTCGACGAGAATTTCTCCTGTTATTCAAATTTTGTGATCTTTGTTTTTTTATAATATATTTTCACTTTTAGTTTTATTTGATATATAACAATTTTATTGAAATTATAAATTTTATAATATAATCAAAATTATAAATTGTATTAAAATAATTTTGGTTATATGAAGAAGTAGTCCTTTAACAAATATAAATGTTTGGCATAAAAATAAATTTACATGTTTAAATAATTCTTATGTGAAGAAGTGGTATTTTGGTCAAAATAAAAGTTCAAAGTCAAATTTAACGGTTAACTAGCAGTTAGATGGATGAAAATGAAAACCCAAATGTATGAGGAAAGTTTGTGTGACATATATTTCAATTTTAGAAAGGTTTATATACATTTTCAAAATAGAGGGATAAAATTTACCACACCATAATTTATTTAATTAACCTTCAATATTGATGGCTTAAAATTGCAAAATTTTTTTATCAATTTATTTGAATAATAGGAGAAATTAAATAAATAAATTGTTACCAGTATTGAAGCTTAATTAAATAAATTGATAAAATTATGTGATAGAAAATAGTTTGAAAAACTAGCATTGATGATCTAAACCTATAAACTTAGCCACAAGAGAGATAGGTGTGGGCAAGTGGCTTACTAACCTACTTAATTTGAACGCATTTTTAAGCTTCCAGGCTCAAATTTTGGGATATGACGCCTCCTTTATATACTGATTTTGCTTGCTTTTTATTGGGTCCAATTTGGCTCTCAAATAATTTCGCATCAATTTGGAATAATTACAATTTTCTAAGCCCAAAATAAATGGAAATTTATGAATTCAATTATTCATGAGGGGTAATGTTTTATATTAATCCACTAAAATCCTCAAATAATCATTTAAGGCATTTACATAAGTTTTGCATCGTGGAATTTGGCCAAGTGCGAAATAATTATCGAAAAATAGGCTTTTAAACTTAAAATATTTTCTTGAGGTGTTTTAACATTTAGTGCATCCACTGGGCCTTAAAAATCACTTAGAAACCTTTTTCCTATTTTTCATGAATTTGCCTAATTTGTTTTTTTTTTTCTGGGATCATTATTGATCATAGTTGCATTAATACGGATTTAACAAGAGTTTTAATGATATTTTTATTTTATCGGTGACATTTATTTTAATTACTTTTTCCTTCATCAGGCTTCTGAGCGTTGCTCGAAAATTTGGGCGTTCCATCTTCTGTTACCGTCCTTGAGAACACAATGGAGGTAATAATCATTTTATTCTTTCTATAATATATACTCTTCTCTAATTTGTGATTTTTATGAATATCATTGTTTGCATGCATGCATGTCTCCTTTATACATTATAGAAAGAATAACTGATTAGCAATAGGACCTAATTTATCTTTAATTGTAATTGCAAATATTGCTGTTGTTAATTATTTAAATCTTCTTTGGATGATTCACTTATTAACCGAGTAACTGATTAACTGCATAATATAACTGCACAGCTAGCTGTTGTAGATGGCCATGGCAATGCCACAAATAAGGAAGCGATTGGGAGGTGGTTGCTAACTAAATTGGGGAAGGCAAGACATGTATAAGGTGGCTAGAAGACTAAGTTGCCCTTCAATTATCTGTCTCATTCTAATTTTAACCTTTTATGAAATTTTCTATATCGGTGGATAATTTCTACAAATTAATCCTCAGCACATAAGTATTTTCTTCCTCATTTAGCTTCTTTAGACCATAAATTAATTTACTTAAATTTTTGAACTAAAAATTAGCCTGTAATTATTTTTCTTGAATTTCTCAAGAAAATAAGCCTTTGATTACGAAAATCTGCTTTAAAATTATTTATGCTTCTTTTTAGGCAGTAAACTCTTCTATAATACTCTTCTGATCTTTAATATAAGGCATATTTAACTAATTTGATTAGATTAAAGAAGTTAGGTAAATTAGTTAATTATAAGAAATGTGACACGCTTTTTCTAAAATATCATAATCATCTTTCTTTGTACCCTCTCTTCCTCTTCTACTTGATTATGGTTGAGAAAATATCTATAGGGGTAATTTAGAGAAAATTGATAAATATGAGAAATAGGTGTTATATTTAGGACCAAAACTAACTCAACAATTAGGTCCTATATTAAGGACTGGAGGAGTATTATTCATTTCTCGAAATGATTATCTATAATATTTTCTTAATTATTCAAGACCTTTGTATAATTTTAATAATTATTTCTCCATTGATTTTCCTAAATTTATTACCCAAAAAAGAGTTTTTAGTGAATAAATTATTTTCTTGATGACTTAAATAATTTTGTTAAGCCTCCTAAAAATTTTATTAATTCTTAGCTTTAAAATTTGAGATGTTGTATTCTGTACGCAAAGTAAATTAAAAAAGCGGGAAAAGACAAATGAATGCCATTTTAAATTTCAAATTCTAAAATGCTGACATGAATTTGTAAAAATCCTAAATTGATGCTCATGCTCAAAGTGTAGTTTTGAAATGTTAGTGATTTTGCAATATTACCTTTTTATCAATAAAGATGAAAATCAATAAAGATGGCGGGTTGGCTTCAACTCTTACATATGCTGAATTTCCTAATTATTATGTCTACCAAAAAGATAAACGTCAATGGAAACAGCGAGAAAGAGGTTTTGCCGTTGGTAGGATCACACATGTGTCACCATCATCTGGAGAATTATATTATCTTAGATTGTTACTAACTACTGTAAGGGGTCCCACCTCATTTGATGATATCAAAACTGTTGATGGTATGGTTCATGATACTTTCAAATCTGCATGTTTTGCTCTGGGACTCTTACAAGATGATAATGAATACATTACTGCAATCAAGGAAGCAGCCATATGGGCATCTGGAATTCAATTAAGGAGGCTCTTTGTAAGCATGTTATTATGTTGTTCTTTACAACAACCTGACATTGTATGGAAGGAAACCTCAAAGCTACTCTCAGAAGATCTATTTTACATATCTTATAATGATCCAGTCTCATCAGGTTCGATAACTTTAATTTATATTTTATACAAAGTATGTTTATCTATGGAGAATATTCACGTTTCTATTACTGGTTGGTTATCTTTTGTAGATATCCATATCTCTCTATCTGAAAAAGAGAATGCTGCTTTGAAAGAGATTGATAATCTACTTCATGCAAATGGGAAAAGTCTACATGAATTTCCTTCATTACCGTTACCAACAGAAACTGCAACAGTTGATCTACACAACCATCTCATACTGCAAGAATTGAGTTATGATAGACAAGCCTTATCAGAGGAAGCTAATACACTTTCCCAGAGTTTGAATGATGAGCAACTACTCATATATAATATCATATTGTCCGCAGTTAATCTATCTGACGGTGGGTTTTTCTTTGTGTATGGGTATGGTGGAACAGGCAAAACATTTCTTTGGAATGCATTGATAACAACATTACGTGCAAAAGGTGAAATTGTACTTCCAGTTGCATCAAGTGGAATAGCTGCAACATTATTACCATCTGGCAGAACAGCACATTCAAGGTTTGCAATCCCCATTCAAATCACAGAGTCTTCTGTATGTGGGATAAAGCAAAACTCAGCACTAGCAAATCTGATTAAGTCCACAAAGTTAATCATTTGGGATGAAGCACCGATGGTTCAGAGGTATTGTATTGAAGCATTTGATAGAACGTTGAAGGATATTATGCATTCTAATGCACCATTTGGTGGTAAATGCATTGTCATGGGTGGTGATTTTCGTCAAATTCTTCCAGTCATACCAAAAGGTACAAGAGCTACAATTGTTAATGCTTCAATTAATTCCTCATACTTATGGAATCATTGTAGAATTTTGAAGTTAACAAAGAACATGCGACTGACTTCAACTGCTATTCCCAGTCATAAAGAAAAGTTAGAATGGTTTTCAAATTGGTTGCTACATATTGGTGATGGAAAATTAGGTGAATCAAGTGATGGTGTTGCAGAAGTTGAAATCCCTAAAGAGTTGTTGCTCACAAATTATAACAACCCACTTCATGCGATTGTGGATAGTATATACACAAATCTCCTTCATAATTTAGCTTCTGGTGAATACTTCAATGATAGAGCAATCTTGGCCCCAACAATTGAAATGGTTGATCGAATAAATCACTACGTCTGTTCTTTGTTACCAGGAGAATCATTTGAGTTCCTCAGCTGTGATTATGTGTGCAGATCTGGTCAAGAAAGTGATACAATGGACAGCCTCTATACCACAGAATTCTTAAATAGTATTACATGCTCTGGAATGCCACCACACAAGTTACACTTGAAAGTAGGAGCACCAATTATGCTATTGCGAAACATAGATCAAGCTTCAGGTCTGTGTAATGGGACACGACTTCTAATATCTCATCTGGGACAAAGCGTGATTGAAGCCATAACATTGAATGGGTCAAAACCCAACCAAAAAGTTCTAATTCATCGAATGGATATGAATCCTTCTGAAAGTCGTTGGCCGTTTAAAATGCAAAGGAGGCAGTTCCCGATAATGTTATCATTTGCAATGACAATCAACAAAAGTCAAGGCCAATCATTAAGGCATGTTGGTCTATATTTGCCTAAGCCTGTTTTCAGTCATGGACAGCTATATGTTGCGTTATCCAGAGTAAAGAGCATGGATGGTTTAAGGATTGTTGTTGATGACAAAGATGGTTGTTTGAAGAGAACTACAACAAATGTTGTGTACAAAGAAATATTTACAAATGTAAATAGTACAAATATTTAGTCTGTAGTAAATTATTGATTGTCATCAATGCTATAAAATGTAATTATACATTTCCCGTGCATCGCACGGGCGAGTAAAATCTAGTTTTACAAACAAAGCCACCATCACTGGCAACTCTACTGTCGGAGCTCCGACACTGACGGCCAGATCCTGTTGATGGCAGCCAACAGCATTACGGTAGTTAGCAACCATTGAGCCACCAAACATCTTCATTAACGTGATGCAAAATCATATATCAAAGTAAAAAAGTCGTTTACTTTAAAATGGTGGTATTGATAATACTTTTACCGAGTTTCACTATTTCATCAATGGCGTTGGCAACAACCTTTTTACAATTTTAACAATGAGAAAAAATCGAAGAGAATGACATATTAAAAATTTACAACGCTACTAAAGGCATTTATAATACTGTTACCGAATTTCACTACATTATTAATGCAATTTCAACACTTAAAAAAAAAAAATCAAAGTAAAGGGCCTTGTTAAAAATCATTTACTACCCTACTAATGACATTTATATCACTTTTTCCAAGTTTCATTACTTCGTCAATGCCATTTTCAATAACTTCCTTATAATTTCAGCACTTGAAAAAAAAAAATTAAAGTGAAGAGCCCTGTTAAAAATCACTTACTACGCCACTAACAGCATTTACAAAGACATTTATCGAGTTTCACTACTTCACTAATTCCGTTTATAAAAATTGTTTTTTATTACAATTTCAACACTTGTAAGATAATTCATCTATATAAATAATTAAAACGTAAAATATAATTGAATTATCAACATTTAAAATAATTAATCAATGTAAATTATAAAATTTATGACAAAGTATGCTTTTTTCAAACCTTATAAATACACTAAAAATGTCTCTAGATAATTATAACTCAAGTAAATAGATTTTTTTCTTTTTTTTTGGAAATAACCTAATTAATAGCGAATAAATTTGATTATACTTTACACCTTAATTATTTACATTGATTAATTATTTTACAAGTACATTTTACTTATTTGCATATATAATTCTTTTAAATTGCTGAAATCGTATTTAATTATTTACATTGATTAATTATTTTACAAATCCATTTTAGCTATCTATATTGATTAATTATTATACTAGTATTGAAATTGTATAAAAGTTTGTTGAGTGTTTCCTATCAATTAATTTACTTCCAAAAAAAAAAAACTATTTACTTGAGTTACAATTATTTAGAGACACTTTTAGAACATTTATAAAGTTTGGAAAAGCATAACTTTTTTATTTTACATTGATTAATTATTTTCAATGGTGATAATCTGATTATATTTTACATTTTAGTTATTTATATTGATTAATTATTTTATGAGTGTTGAAATCGTACAGAAATTGTTGTAAATGATGTTAATGAAGTAGTAAAACTTGGTATTTGACCAAAAAAAGAAAAAGTAGTAAGACTTGATAAGAATGTTGCAAATGATTTTTAACATACCCTTTACTTTGATGTTTCTTAGTGTTGAAATTGTAAAACGATTATTGTAAATGGCATTAATAAAGTAGTAGAACTCAATAAAAGTGTTCTATATGTTATTAGTAGTGCAGTAAATGATTTTTAATAGGACACTTTTCTTTGATTTTTTTCTAAGTGTTGAAAGTTGAGAATGATGTGAATGAAGCAGTGAAACTCAGCAAAAGTGTTGTCAACGCTGCTAGTAGTATAGTAAATGATTTTTAACCGGACCCTTCACTTTGATAGTTTACCTTATATATGTATAATTTTGTATCATATCAACAGATCAGATAGGCTTTGTGGCTTAACGGAGACTGGATCTTTTGGGATGCAAGGGATGATGTGATCAAATTTCACTTCGATAACCTTGGCCCCAAAAAACAGGCGCCGGAGCTCTATGGCCGGTCGGCAACACGGTTGCCGGTCATGATGGCTTTTTTTTTTAAAGATAAAAGGTAATATTATAAAATCACCAACATTTAAAAATTTCAATTTAGTCATGAATATTAATTTGAAATTTTGTAAATTGGTGTCATGATTTTAGAATTTGAAATTTCAAATGTCATGTATTTGTCGTTTCCCTTAAAAAAATTGAACTTCATCAACCATCAAAACCTAAATTAACTATATTTAGATAACAATTTGTGTAACAACCTGAAAAGTTTAAATGTAATTTTTTTAGCTATGTACAATGAATATGTCTTTTAATACATTGTCAAGATTATAATGTTTTAAAAAAGATTTCAAAATAAAAATAAAAATAAACTAATAATAATCATGATATTAGTAAGTTGGAGTTTTCTTTTTTGGAAAAATTGTTTTGAAAAATTGCATATCAGAAGTCTTGTTAAGTTACAGTGTTAGAGTAAACAAATGAAATTGTGATCTCATGTCCATTAGAGATGACAAGCATTGGTGAAAGTGTTGCAACTAATATAGCACAGAAATTGGTGGAAAAGATTATCATAGAATTTAAATATTTTCATGATTCTGAGGACTACACACACAATTTTGTGATAGAAAACAACATTTTGCATGCAAAACGAGAGAATGTGCTCAAAGATATTGACGATGCCAAGAAAAGAAACGAAAGTCAATTAGAGATGATGTTCAAAATTGGATCGAGGAGGCTAATATTCTAATTCAGAAGAACACTAGAATAAAGCACAGACGGTCTTATGGATGGCGTCATTACTGGCAATACCGACAGGGGAAGAGGTCGGCAAAAAGAACGTCAATCATTAAAGATCACATCCAAAAATATAACTTTGATTTTGTGAGCAGAAAGACGAAATTCAAGCAACTTGTGAGAGCATTAGAAGATGGAAATCATTACATAATTGGATTACAAGGGATGGGGGGAACGGGTAAAACCACATTGGCAAAACAAATGGGCAAACAAGTTGAAGAATCCAAAGCGTTTGAGAAGGTCATCTTTATTAAGAAAATCAAGCAACAGCAAGTGTTTTGCCAGAAATTGCAGAGGTATAAAAAGAACAAAAAAAATCGTGATTTTTTTTGGTATTTTCTTTTACTAGTGAATTTAACCTGTCCATAAATTTCATTACTGCAAACTGACTGACTTATTAATTATGGTGTTGGTTAAGAGCTCCAAGGAAGCAATGAAGACAAGTGTTGAAGTTGCATCATCAATGGTACATCTTCATCTCATTCTACAATCAAAAGAGCATAGTTTCTCCACACCAAGCCTGAGTTTTCTAAACAAAATGCACCAAATAGAACATAGGAATACGCTTAGAGATCACTGCAGCTTTCTTTTTTTTCTAATAAGTCATTATTCATTACTATACAACTGATACTTTTGATAAAGCCACAACAGTGACTTCACCAAACCCTTCAAACATCTAAAGTTAGCAAAGATTTTATGTGCACATTACAAAAAAAAAGAAGAAGAAGAGAAATTAATGCATAAATAAATTGTATCTTTTGATGTGATAGAGTAAAAAGGAGGAAACAGTGAAGGAAATCGAAACCAAGGATCCTACTCTAGCATTAGAGAAACAAGCACCGGGAGGTTCAATACCACAATTGAGAAGGGCAACTTCATAGGTAAGTTTATCGATTGTTTGACTATTTTCAACTTGACCGCAAGTTTATTTTAAACTCATAGCATGTTTAATACGTCTTCTAATACCAATGCCAACAAATGTAAACCATATATATAGTCTCAAATTTAGTTTGATTATCTATAAATTAACATGTTCCTAGGAAAAGAATTGAATACTGAACATAGAAGATATCCATGAACTAATGAAGTTCCCTGAAGTGAAATACTTAATTCTATCTCTCACTGTAATTTATAATTATACAGAAACAGAGGAGGAAGTTAGTAGGATCCTTGATCCTGATTCAAAGTTACTAGCAACAAATTCATCTGCTTTTCAGGTGAACAAAGTTAATAGCCCGTATATTTAAATGTGCTTCAAAGCAGAAATTTCTTATTGAATGGAAAGATAACTTCAATCAATTGATGAAGTTGCTTTATTAAATTAATGTTTCCATTTGTTTTATTCAGAGATTATAAACAGGGAAAAAAGTTGTAGGAACAGCTTCAGAGTCATCGGTGACTACGGCTTTAGAGTTATCCTTTGATATTATGGGAGAAACCACATAATCAAACTCTATATCTATTATTGACAAGAACTTGTGTTCCTGGATGTAGAAGAAAAAACAAAAAGACCATCCTGAAACAACAATTTCTCGATTTCTTTCATTATGTGGCCAAAGTAAAGAATTATCTGCACATGCAATAAATGAAACTGAAAAATATTTCCTTTCTTTTGCGTTTCTTTTTAGATTACTTAGAGTGTCAAAGAGATAACAGAATCAAGACTCCAAGAGAATTATGCGATAGAGGATGCCATGATAGCAACTCTACCAACTAATTCAAATTCAAGGAAGTAGTCCACTAGACCATTCGTCAACACTAGAAATGATTCTGCGCAAGTAAGTCCATTGCCCTTTTCTAATACAGCAACATATGAACTACACCGGATATTTCCCAATTCAATTTCATCACGAGGAGTTGCATCCAAATGTTCAATGCTTCAAATAGGAGTTGGAGTATGAACAGTCAGCACATGAAGCAACTTCGTTGGGCCAATAGCAAGATCTTGGAGAAACAAAGATATCTATTGAAGTTTCTCATAAAACCAAAATACCATTTAATGATCATGTGCGTTATAATTAATGTATCCCAACAGTTTTTGAAGTCGCATTATGATTACTAACCACTCTTTTGCGCTACACAGAGTATTGATGTCACAGTAAAAGAAAGAGCTCAAGAAGGGCCTACCTCTAAGGATGCTATATTAGAAACTCTATTCACTGATTTAGCATCGAGGAATTTATCCGCAGCATCAATCACTCCTCTACAAGAGGAGTTTCCATTGGTTGTTGATTACTGTGTTATTATGCCTAGGAATATGCTAGATGGCTAGAAGAAAATGTATCTTTTTTTTTTTTCCATCGCTTGTTTTAAGATTTGACAAAGAAAAAGTCAAGTGGAAAAATCATGATAAACCAGCAAGGACTCGCAGAAAAGACATCTG